TGCAAGCTGGAGTTTGTAATCCAAGTCACTCACGTCCTGTCTCTTCCCCATCAATGATGATTCTTCGCTGCTGGTAATAACAGTCACAATAGCTTGGAGACAGTCAAAATGATGTTGTTGCTTTTGCAGGCAGGTCAAAGGCTGTCTGTTCTGCCCCATAAAACCACTGGATTTGTCGCATCTCACTTTCCCTAGCGGCTAGCGGTGTTTCTTTCACGGCTTTTGTGCCCATTCCAAAGCTCAGACTGTGGAGAAGTGTCTGTTGTCTCTGGTGAAACACTTCCTGTTGTCAGCCAGTGGGGCCAACTTTCGCGCTTTTATCGCGAGTCTCGGGATACCCAGTGATCTCCTGGGATGATGGGAGCATCTCTGCTTTCCCTCTTAAAGTTACTTCCTAGCTCTCCTGCTTGTGGAGAAATGCAAACGCCCTGCCCCCTGACGGCGCAGAAACCGGACCCCAAATGTGGTATTATTTATAGTTGTGTATTTGTAAGTTGATCTCATCGTTCTGGGGGACCTGACTGGTGGTTTTTGAACTCTTGGCGTTGGCAATACTGTGTTACTTTGGCCACAATGCATGTTAAGGTTCCATGAATAAATAGTTTCTAAAGGGTTAATGCAGGATGAATGGAGGGACAGTTTTTTTGTTCTGTGTCCACTCGGGGCCTAACACAGTACGGTGCTGGTCCAGCCGGGGGGCTCCTAGGTGCTGCTGTAATAGAAATAATCACCCCTAGCTCTTATCTAGGGCTTTTCATTCGTTGCTTTCAACGTGCTTTACAAAGCAGGTCAGGATTATACAGGTGGGGAAACAGAGGCACAATGGTGATGTGACTTGCAGGCCAGTGGCAGGACTAGAACCCAGGTCTCCAGAGTCAAAGTCCTGCGCTCTATCCACTAGGCAAAACTGCTTCTCTAATAATAACAACATGATAAACGTGCTACAGACAGGAGAGGTATGTGTTACAGAAGGACAAAAATTCTCCCTCAATCCATAACGATTGATGAACGATGCATTAAAAACATGTCTGAATTGGGTATTAACCCGTTATGAACTATTTAGAAATGGAACCGTCATGTAAAGTGGGACCATGTGATTTTCGAGGTAAACACCAGCTCCGTTGGCCACCAGGAGGTTCTGCACGGCCTCAAACAGGAGGGGCGAGATCTATGAGCCGAGCTTTCGATTTAAACGTGACGCAGGTGTAAGAGCCACTAGCTCTCTCGGAATGTTTGTTGGTTCAGGAAAGAACCACTCAGCTCCGCTGCCCAGGTAATCCTGCCACTGCCACTTGCGGACTGAAGATGGGGGGTGGTCTGGTGGTTAAGGCACTGGGCTGGGATTCAGGATATCTGGCTTCGATGTCCAGTCTTGTCCTGGGCTTGTCACTTAGGCCCAGATTGGGGCCTAGATACTCTGACAGACTCCCATTGAGGATCTGGCCTGTAACATCTTCGTGCCTCAGTTTCCTTTCTGTAAAAAGAGGGTAAGAAGCTTTCCTTTGCCTGTCGTGCCTAGATTGCAAACACTACTGGGATCATTCTTGTTACGGGTCTGTGCATGATGGGGCTCTCACCTCAGTGTGGCCTCTAGAGCAGTGGTTCTCAGCTGGGGTACATGTACCCCTGGGGATGAACAAAGGTCTTCCTGGGGGTACTCAACTCACCTTGATCAGCGTTTCTCAACCTGGTGGTTACAGGACTTGCAAGTGCAGGGCCGGCCATAGGGCCTGGCGTGCAGGGCAGTTGCCCAGGGCCTCACCCCACAGGGGTCCCTGTGAAGCTAAGTTACGTGCTTCAGCCCCGGGTGGCAGGACTCGGGCTTCGGGCAAGGCTCGCACATGGAAAAAACCGGCTCACGTATCACACTGAAATGTAACTACAATCTATTCCAATCCATTTATTTTCTAATGCTATGGTAAAAATGAGCAAGTCCGCCATTTGTCAGTACTAGCGGGCTCTGACACTTCTAGGTCGGATTTTGTCAGCAAGTGGTTTTTAAGTGAGGTGAAACTTAGGGTGCGCAAGACCACTCAGCCTCCTGCAAGGGGTGCCGTCGTCTGGAAAGGTTGACAGCCGCTGCCCTAGACCGAGCAGCTGCAGCACCGTTCTCCACAGGACTGAAGTGCACTTTGCAGAGCTGGGCAGCTGTCATTTCCCCCCGGTTTACAGATGAGCACGTGATTTGGCCAAGTGACTCAGTGGCCGAGCCGCAGGGCTCGGCAGCCATAGTCTCTCGCTGCTGCTTAGGAGTAACGGGACAGTTTTCTGACCCCGGGCCTGTCCTCTGACCACTAGGTACCTGTGTGCACATTGGGAGTGCAAGTTACTAGCATGAACTGCCCTATGGTACCGTCTATCCTCTCTGGCCCTCATCATGGGAGAGAGCGGCTTTGAATCGTGAGCTCCTTTTGAGATCGAAGTCACAGAAACATTAGACGAGAGCAGAAGTTACACCGCTCTAGAATTACATAATGCAGTTATACGCCCTGCACATCTTAATGCAGCAGGGAAAGCAACGAGGAGGCGGATGGCGACCAGAGGCAGACACACAGAGAGCAAAAGCTGCGTGCGTGCGTGCGTGTGTAGCGGGGAGATGGCAGGGCAGGGAGACAAGACTGTTCTGGATAACTGGAAGGAGCCAGAGATCGAGAGATACCAGATACCGAGAGAGGGGTTAGGGCAAGAAGTAACCCGGTTTTGTTGACTGTTAGACGGTGGTAACCTTGTGCCACCCGCCTGGCAAACCTGAGTTGAGAGACTGACTCTAAACGTGACGCTCCAGTGGGTCCCAATGGATGCCAGCAACGTAGGAAGCGCCTTCTCCCCACCCCAGCCCAGATAATAAAAACCCTCGAGAGCCCAGGGGCTGAAACTGGCCACGTGTGGGTGGACTGGTGACTCGCTGCGCCATCTTCCTCCACAATCTGATCCTAAATTCTGGGGCGCTCTGTTCTCCGTGGCACTGCTCCGGCACGGGAAAGGGGCTTCCAAGTGAGCGTCAGTTACATCTGCGCCCGCTGTAACAAGGCCCTTTATGCTGCTGGATGGCCGTAAAGAGCCCTGAGTGTACATGAAATCCGGGCCCGTGTGGATCTAAAATTGCAGTTCTCCCCTCGATAGATCGCTCGGAAATAGACCAGAGTCCACTGAGGCGTTTTCTGGGCTTTGGACCAACTTAACGGCACGATGGGGAACGTTAAAACGAGAGAGAGAAACAAACAAGCCCCAGTATAATTTTTCCCTTCCCCTCAGTTGTTCCTATTGTCCCTAGGAGACGACTTGCTCGGAAAGATGAAGGTGATTTTAATAGGGTCTAATGTTGTCATGGAGACAACTGCTCCGTTGCTATTAACTGCGATCATGCCAGCTATTATCCTGGTAAAGAGTGTGAAGAAATGAATTTATCAGCGGCACCCAGGAATTGTGGAGGCGTCTTCTTTATTTTTGGTGGAAAGTCTATTACATTGTCTTGTATCGATGGCTCGGTGCCTGTCTGCCTGCCTGAGTCGGCACGCACCCTGCTAGGCCAGGGGTGAGGTCCCAAAGGGGCTTTCCCCTCCGCTGCTTCGTCTGAAGTTCTGTTTGAAATTCACAGGGAAATAAAGCAGCGGTGGTGTTAGATGTTGGTAGAAAACTGTTACTGGGAACGAATCCATCTTGGAAACGGTTCACACGTAGACAACAGAAACAGAAAGAAGGGGTGGTGGGGGCAGATCACTGGGAGTCAGGACACCTGGGTTCTATTCCCAGGCCTGGAAGGGAATTGGGGCATAGGGGCTACAGCAGAGGAGGTGGGGACGGGTGTCAGGACTGCTGGGTTCTGTTCCTAGCTATGGGAGAGGAGTGGCGGTCTAGCGGTTAGGACAGGGGGAATAGTAATAATGCCTAACTCCGATATAGTGTTTTTCCTCAGTGGATCTCTTTACAAAGACGGTCAGTAGCGTTATCCCCATTTTACAGATAGGGGAAGCTGAGGCACAGAGTGGGGATGTGACTTGCCCTTTGGTGTCGCAAGTCCCAGCCCAATGTTCTGCCCCCTAAGCTACGCTGCGTTCCTCGGGGTGAGGCTCTGCCCCTGCCTGGGAGCAAGTCACCTCCCCTCCATTTCCCCATGTATCCCAGCGCTAACCCAGGGATGAGGCTGAGTTTTCAGATCCATGGACGGAAGCACTAGGGAGAGGCATGTATCCCCTCTCGAGTGTGCACGACCCTCCCTGTGCAGACTCCGTCTCCTAACAGAGGCCGGGAACCTACCGGACGTCCTTTTTTGCCTACAGGAGGAAACAAACCGTTCCCGTTTGCGCCCATGCGCAGCCCCAGCATGCTCCCAGCCCAAGCCATTCCCGAGAAACTGGCGCTCGTTCCTCTTCCATAAATAACCACCTCCGGGCCAGGAGGAACCATTGTGCTCATCTGGTCCGACCTCCTGTGTACCACGAGCCAGAGAATTGCCCCAGGATCATTCCCAGAGCAGAGCTTACAAATATATCAGAGGGATAAATACCAGGGAGGAAGAGGAATTATTTAAGCCCAGTACCAATGTGGACACAAGAACAAATGGATATAAACTGGACATCAGGAAGTTTAGACTTGAAATTAGACGAAGGTTTCTAACCATCAGAGGAGTGAAGTTCTGGAACAGCCTTCCAAGGGGAGCAGTGGGGGCAAAGGACATATCTGGTTTCAAGACTAAGCTTGATAAGTTTATGGAGGGGATGGGATGATGGGATAGCCTAATTTTGGCAATTAATTGATCTTTGACTATTAGCGGTAAATATGCCCAATGGTCTGTGATGGGATGTTAGATGGGATGGGATCTGAGTTACTACAGAGAATTCTTTCCTGGGTGTCTGGCTGGTGAGTCTTGCCCACATGCTCAGGGTTTAGCTGATCGCCATATTTGGGGTCGGGAAGGAATTTTCCTCCAGGGCAGATTGGCAGTGGCCCTGGGGGTTTTTCGCCTGCCTCTGCAGCGTGGGGCACGGGTCACTTGCTGGAGGATTCTCTGCACCTTGAAGTCTTTAAAGCACAAGTTGAGGACTTCAATAGCTCAGCCATAGGTCAGGGGTTTGTTACAGGAGTGGGTGGGTGAGATTCTCTGGCCTGCGTTGCTGCTCCGTGGAGATAAACCCAAAGTCTGTGTCCAAGGGCTGCTCTGCACACAGTTGTTGTACTGGTAGAACTATCGTGGTGAGGGGTGTGATTTGATTTTTATTGTTTTTTTAACACGCAAAAATTAAGGTGGTTGATTTCGCTGCCAAGCGGTCAGGAAATGCAGCTGAGCTCTGAGTGCACGATGTGTAGGATTTTTTTGGAGGGGAAGGAGGGAGTTGGTTTGCGTCCTGTCTCGGTCTCATCCACGCATGCTCGTGGGGCAATCAGTGCATTTCATCCAACCCACGTAAATAAAACGAAAGAAAGCGAAGGAGGCGTCTCCATCCAGTGGAACCTGCAGGGGGATTCAGGGAGTTACATTAGTGACCCTAGTTAAAATCTGACTCAGATAATGGTGGGTTAGTTCCTAGGCTCTTATTTCTAATGATCACAAGAGGCCAGGGCCAGGACAGTGGTGCTTCCTGGGCATCTCTGACTCCTAGCATCTTACTGGGGCTTTGAGGTTGTGTACTGTGACCCTCGCCCCAGACGCTTTGGTCGTCTTGTCTATTTAGATTGGCAGCTCTTCAGGGCAGGGACTGTCTCCTGCTCTGTACAGCGCCTCGCACAATGGAGACCCCGCTCTTACTTGGTCCTTGGGCATACCGTAATAAACAGGATTAATGCTTCCTCCACACTGCCCCTGACACCGCCGAGCCCCTAGTGCTGCCCTGGGACCTTGACTCAGACGAGAGCCCCTGTTTAAGTGCTGAGTTTCTGAGCACTGTCCTGACTTGAGCGCAAGACGGTGGCGCTTCAGGCCACGGGGGCGGAAGCAAAGGCCTGTGTACTGCAGGGGAGAGGGGGTTTGGAGGGCTGATAAGATCTGAGACCCTGAGAGCGACTCCATTAAGTTTATAGATGCGGTGCAGCTGCTGGTGTGTATTTCGCTGGCAGGCGGCAAAGCTGAGCGATTCTTTTGTCCTTGCACCACAGTGCAAGTCTTCTCCCAGCAAACCCACCAGCTCGAGCGCCTGCCAGGGAAAGTCAGCGGCGAGGGAACTTGCCGTCGCTGGGCTGTTTGCAAGCCTCGCTCCAGTCGGCTGTGCCACGCTTCACAACCCATCGATCCCGCGGGGCTGAATTCAGCACCCGAGCTTGACAACGCTTGTAATGAAGCGTCACGGATGACCGAGACGCTGAAGTGAGCACCCCAGCTGCAGCTGCTGAAGCACAACGTGGCTGCTGGGTTTTCTTTCCCTCCCCCACTCAAACAACGGCCAGTTTCTCTCTGGCTCCCGGAATGTGCTGCTTGTGGTGACGAACGCCTGCACGGGGCTTTGTACTCACAAGAGCAGCGCACAGAAGTAGCTCCGCTGTCCGTGCAGAGCCGATGATGCAATGACGGTCTCTCTGTTCGGTGCAGGTACAGCGCCACAGCCAATAGGATGCCGAGCCAGGACTCCTAGTTGCTACGGTAATACAAATAATTAATAATCATTGGATCGTACCATCCAGCATATGTGCCCCATCCCCTTTCACAGGTTCCAGGAATGTGGCTTCTCTTCTCTTTCCCGGTGCCATGCCGTGATCTTTGCTTTATTTGTATTATTACTTAGGCCGCGCCAGGTGCTTTCGCCCTATACCGCAGGCAGGTCCTTCTCTCAAGGGGCTTATACTGAACTCTGACAACAGGAATGGGAGAAGTGAGCCACGGAACATGGAGCAATCCGTGCGGGAGAGCAGCCGAGTGCGGGAAAGTTGAGCAATAGGGTGGTTAAGGAGTTCCACGAAGCAGGAGAGGGCCGGCTGCACTCGGGGCCGGAGGTTGTTCTGGGTATCTCAAAGGCAGGCAGTGCGGGAGACAGGGTGACAGCATCAGCACTGGTGTAAGACCCATGGTGAAACTGGCACCGGCATAATTACCTTGATCCAGTCAAACAATCCAGCTCGATCTGGGAATTTACCCACATAAGATGCATCTGCATTAACCTCTAGCGACATGGGCTTGTGTTGGTCTAACTGCAGTGGTGGTGTGAATTGTCTTCGTGGAGACAGGGCCTACAGGAGCAGCTAGGAGACAGGCTATGGGGAAGCATAAGGATCCCGGCTGGGGCCGAAGTGTGTGTATGTAAATAAAGGAAGAGTCAGAGCTTAAAAGTGAGGAAGCCAATGAAAGGATGTTTGAGGAAGTCAGCCTGGCTGGAGGACGACAAGGTGGTGAAGGCAGTAGTCCCAAGGGGGAGAGGACTGACACGTGCTCGGGTTTAGCAGCTGGCACGGACTACGGAGCAGTTACAGGGAAGAAGCGAGAGCCTCGACGCAGGAGTGGGCCAGAGATGGAATTTGTGGTACAGAAAAGAGTAAGCTTCCAAACTACAAAGGGCCATCGATGGCTGGAACTTCGCAGGGCTGAGAGACTGAACAAAAATAGGATCAGAACCTCCGCCTGGGTGAGAGCGGAGAGAACCCAGCAATTCTCTCTGCTGCTGCTTCCCTCGTTCGTTCCTCCGATAGTCTCCAGGCGCTAATTACCACCGGTGTGTTCGGAAGGACGCCCTGGGCTGCGTGCTTTTGCCTCATTGTAGGAGGCCTGGTGTTTTGTATTGGCAGGAGGTAGCTGTAAGGGAACCACACAACCATAACACCCCCCCCCCCGCCCCACTACAGTCAGCCTATAGCTGTCGTTATCCTGCTTGGGGAAAAATAAGGATAGTCGGATCCTTTACTAGATTATCGGATATCCTATCGATAATTTGAATCCTTGGCCCCCCCGTTTGGGAACCGAAAGGTACACTAAGGAATGACTCCCAGCGGAGGCCAGCTCCCACATGATCCTCAGTCCGTGGGGAGGACACTCCCAGCTACCACCAGTTGTAACAGGGATTCTAACAGATCTGGGCCAGCAAATCTTGATGATTGGCCCATGGTCTGACTTTGCTCCTGGCCCCAGCAGCTCTCGGGTGCTGCAATTGAGTCTAGGTCTCTCCCGTGATTTGCTTTAGCCAGGCTGGGATATAGGACACGCCAGTGTAGTGGCATTTAGAGTGGGGCCGCCCTGCAGCCTTGGGTAGAAGTACACACGCTGGCTTTGACTGAGTTCGCATGCTAAAAATGCAGCGTAGCTGCGGCGGCAAGGCCTAGCTACCCGTGTACGGTCCTGTCCACGATCCTAGGTACGTAGCCTGAGTCGCTGTGGCTACACACTGCTATTATCACCGCACTGGCTTGATCCGAACTAGCGCCTGTATGTCCACACAAGCCGGAAGTACCCCTCCAAGCTACAGGGTGGACGTCCCCTGAGTTTAATGAGTCTGGAAGCTGCAGCGTCATGTCTGTGTCTGGCATCCTACATGAAAGAAATCCCTTTTATCTTCACTGCAACTGAGTAATGCCTCTTTTCTACCGCAAAAGACCCGGCATGGGCTCCTTGGACAACACTGTAAGCTCAGGGGCTGCTGTAATGTCTCGCAGAGCAGTGGCTCTCAGTCTTCCCAGACGACTGTACCCCTTTCAGGGGTCTGTTTTGTCTTGCGTACCCCAAGTTACACCTCACTTAAAAACTACTTGCTTACCCAATCAGACATAAAAATACACGGCCCACTGTTGTTGGAAAAAATGCTGACTTTCTCATTTGTACCTTTATAATTATAAAATAAATCAATTGGGTTATAAATATTGTACTTACATTCAGTGAATAGTCTATAGAGCAGTATTGACAAATCATTGGCTGTATGAAATTTTAGTGTCTCCTGACTTGGCCAGTGCTTTTTATGTCGCCCGTTGTAAAACTAGGCAAATTTCTAGATGAGTTGATGTATCCCCTGGAAGGCCCCTGCTGCCCCCAGGGGTACGTGAACCCCTGGTTGAGAACCACTGTCCTAGCGGGTAGCAGAAGCTCTGAGGCCAGACCATGGGAGGTGGTGTGCTTTTGTCCCACTGGGGGTGAGAATTACATGCTGGGCCTAACTGCTTAAACAAAAAGGCCATCTGTGTCGAGCTCTCTCCATTTTTAGGACAGACTGGGAGTGGGGAAGGGGGGAGAGTGCAAGGAGATCAGGTTTAAATAGAAACAGACAACTGACCTGCCCACTTCCTCAGGAAATGAACATGGTAAGCTGACCCCTCTCCTCCCCGCCGCCATCCCATGGAAATGGAAGACAGCCTCTGCCCAACCCTTTTAGAAACGTGTGGGTGGGGACACTGACTCCATTAATAACATCAGCAGGAAATGCTAATTGCAACAGGAGCAGGATCTTTGCCCAAAGAATTATAGGCCGTGGCCTTCAATTTGCTCTTTGACGTAATTATTTCTCTCGGTCTCTTTCAAAAGTATGACGAGTCTTTTGAGAAATCAGAAGGAAGAATCAGAGCGAAACCTGCAAGCCAAGTCTCCCCCACCCCCGCCTTTCCCTGGCCAGCCGTTAACACGGAGGAATGATGGCAAAGAAAACAGCTCGTTGTACAGAGCTAATCTCTGATCCTCTCCGGACCTCCTAAACCACCTCCAACCATTCAAATCAGAAAAGGGGAGGGGGAAAGATTCTGCTTTGTCGTCTCGGAACTGGTGGTGCCTAAACAGGAGGCGGAAAAATAATCACTCCATTCATGAGGGGAGATAGACATGTGAGCTTTGCCTGAGATTTTCAAAGGTATCTAAGTGACTTGGGCTCCGAAATAACTTTTGAAAATGGACTTAGGCGCCTAGGGAGCTAAATCTCATTAAAAGACAAGTTCCTAGGGCTTCAATGGCAGATTTTAAAAGGTATTTTGCTACCTACAGATGGAGATACATGGTTTTGAAAATCCCCCTGGGCTGCTATGTGCCTAACTGACTAGGCCTCCTTGATGCTACAGTAATACAAATAATAGGTGCTGAAGGCCTAGATCCTCAAAGGTATTAGGCGCCTAATTCCCATGGGAGTTGGGTGCCTAAATACCTTTGAGGATCTGGGCCTAAAGCCCTGGAACTTGGGCACTTTTGAACATTTTTACCCTTAGTCTTTAACTTTTTTTGTTTGACTCTGATAGATACGAATGTTAAATGTATCCAAAGGATTATCAACGCTGGCTGACCCAATGGTTGGAGCACAGGACTGGCAGGTAGGAATTCCTTGTCCCAGCTTGTTCGTTTGTGGCCAGATCTCCAGCAAGTACCCTTTCTCTACGCTTCAGTCTCTCCTTCTGTAAAGTGGGGATAATGGTTCTTAACTATCTCGCAGGCTGTTGTGGGGAAGTTGTCAGGTGCTGTGAAGAGGCTTTAATCCACAAATATCACAGTTTGCATTTGAGAGTCAGACTGAAAAAAAATGTGGTCAAAACGCACCCAGAAAAGCAACAAGAATGCTATCAGCAGAACGAGCTTGTTACCAATGTGGGTGCTTAAGTGATTATCTCACTGGGAGATCTGGACGTTTTACCCGCTTTGTCATTTGTGCTACTCACATGAATCTTTTGTACGTAAACAGAGAAAATCATTTGATTTTTCGTTCTCTCCAAACAGCTGTGACCCGTGAGCTGATTGTAAACGTCTGGACACACAATTTCTTCTTTTCCCACACACTTTGCCCTAACACGTTCTATTTCCTTTTCTTAAACTTGTCTGGTCTACATCCTCTTCTGCAATGTGCCTGGGAAGCCAGGAGACAATCCTTTTATTTTTCCAAGCTCCTCTATCTGCGGTGCCATTAAACTCTTATCTCAAACCTGTTAGCATTTCTTTCTAATTCATCTTCATTGGAAGTTTCTTTAAGCATCAGCAATCGCAGTATATGTCAGTACAATATGCTGTGAGCTCCAGTAGCTCTTACTGTAAATACACCCGGAATATATTGTAATGCCTACACCAGGGGTTCTCAAACTGGGGGTCGGGAACCTTCAGGGGGTCACAAGCCTATTACATGGGGGTCGCGAGCTGTCAGCTCCACCCCAAACCCCACTTTGCCTCCAGCATTTATAATGGTGTTAAATATATGAAAACGTGTTTTTAATTTATAAGGGGGGTTGCAGTCAGAGGCTTGCTATGTGAAAGGGCTCACCAGTAAAACATTATGAGTACCACTGGCCTACACACATGCGTGCGTATGCAAGATAGAACTAAAACAGACAGGAGACGAATATGAGGGAATACAAGAGGGGGTGTTGCCAACTTGCATGTGTTAAATGCAAGTCTCCTGATATTTAGTGTGTTTCTTAAAGGCCCAGCTGCCAGAGTTGTGGTATTGATGTGAAACCCTCAGCTTTCATTGAAAACAAATAAAAGAACGTTTCTGGCCTTCATGGCTACAAAGCTTGAAAATGTGACTCCTAAAGGCTCAAAAGTCAGAAGGCAAACTAACAAAAAAACCCACAGATTTATTAATTTTTAAAATCTCATAATTTTTAAGCCAATTGTGTGATTTATGGGGAGGGCTGACTCATTAACCTTTCATGTTTGGAGTTGGCAGTGCTGCAGGAGTGTACAGGAGAATGA